CTCGAGGACTGGACTCCTGCCATACACAGCCTCTTTCTTCTGTATTGTCATTTTCTCCTGCTTTACCAAGCGATTCCAGCCCTTTTCATTCAGACGGGCTTTTGTATCTTTCATCTTAAAGAAACCCTCTCTTGACCTCACCTACCTTCCCAGCTGCTGCCTGGCTCCTCACGCTTCCTCCACAGCAAAACCTGCACAAAGCCTCATCTGGCCCTGCCACCTCCCCCTGCTCACATCACATTCTCTCCTCAACACCCGCCACCCGGGTCCTCATCAAGGTCACCGGTGACCTTGAAGCTGCCAAAGTCAGGTTACTTTAATGTTTGTCTTGACTCCCCGGTCAGCACTGCCCACCGCTGACATCCCTTCCTTCTGCAGTGGCTCTTCCTGGGGCCTCACACATCCAACTGTCCACCTGGCGTCTCCACTTAGATGTCCAAATAGTCACCTCCAACTCACTAGGAAAACAAAACCTCCTCATACCTGCCTCCTCCCAACCTGTTTCTACCTTCCATGCAGAAATTCAGACCCAAACGCTCAGAGTCATTCTCGATTGGTCTGTTTCCCCTCAGTACTCACATCCACATGCCAACAAGTCTAAATGGTTCTGTTTCCAAAATAAACCCCAACTCAGACCACTTTCCTCCACCCCCATGATCCCCTCCCACTGCAAGCTGTCCCATTACCTTTCCTCTGTATTATTACAATGGTCTCCGAAGTGGCTACCCTCCTTCAACTCCTGCGTCCCCACAATCCGTTTTCCACCCACAGCCAGAGTGATGTTGATGAAACACATGAGATCTCACGGCTCCATTTCTTAGAACCCTCCAAAGCTTCGTGTGTCCGGACACACCTGGCCTGTAAGGCCGACGGTAAGATCCAGCCTCCGAATCTCTCTGACCTTCCCACAGCAGCCCTTGGCTGACAGGTGCTAACCACATTTGCCTGCTTTCCATTACAACTTCAGATTCATGGAATTCAACTGAAATTCAAATGAAAGACACCACAAAGACCAAAAGACCCAAAGAGCAACCCCCCCGCATTGACCCCATTGCAATGCTCTCAGAGAAAACTCTCAAGATGTTTGTTTCCAAGTTATTATTCTCATTTTCCTTCTTAAATTGAAGAACCCTAAAATTAATTTTTAACTTTAATATAATGTAGGTGGTTCAAAAGTTATCTTATCCCTACGGGAAAATTCACTTAAGACCCTCAAATAATTGAACCGTGACACTGACAGGCTTTCTCAAGGATTCAATCTCAAAAAAGTACTGGATTGAGTAAAACAGTGTTTTGTTTACCATTAAAATACTTGATTTAGCTCTACTCGTAAAATCTACTTGTACGTTACAAAAAACATACATTCTTGTAAATAAAAGTCAATTTTCCCATGGAGCATATAAGTCAGATTTGTCTCGATATCATTCTGAATGAGGATCATCAAAATATGAAACCAAGAACTACACAATTTAATAAGTAATAAAAATATTTCCAAGCACTATGAAATAAATGTCATGAAAATTCTGTGCATGTTAAAATTAAAAATGGCATTTTCAGAAGGAATGTTGCATATTTAACATTAATTTCCTTATTTATATAAGTCTGGGCTATATTAAAATATAAAAATATACATAAATATATACATAAAATATACTCTCATCTGACATGTGTGTAGACATTTAAGACAACAGAATGTTAGACTTAAAAAACACCAGTAAAACTAACTCCCACAAAATATTACCTCTGAAAGAGCACTGTAATTACATTTGCATCTGCTGGTGCTAAACTCTCCTTTATTATAATGACAATTAATTATGCTTTCTGATAATAACTTTTAAGTAACCTTAATTTATCTATATGAAAATATATGCATTCAGAGCAAATGGTTTCTCAAGTTTTTAAATAAAAATGTTCATGATTTAGCTACAAAAACACTTCACAAACTAGCTGCTTTGGAGTCCTTAGATAATACAGGTGGGAGTTACCAATTGTTTCTGGATTTGGGGTTGAATATGGGATGCCTCATCAACCGTGAGACTGTCATGAACAGGAGAAAGAAGACATGAGACTGACTAATAAATCTTAATTTTAATTTCTCACTAGATGTTAAGAATAGCATTTCCCCCAAATATATAAGATATTTTATGATTACTTTTAGGCAAACAAGATAGGATAAATCTGAGAACTCAGATGCTTTTCTATAAATGTCTAAATCTGAAGTTGAAAGGAAACACCACTCCCAATTTCAACCAGGACCATGTAGTTCTGGGTGATTTTGCCAGTGTACACAGTATCAGTGAGAACCGGGAGGACACCTGCACCTCCAGTTAGCGGAGGATCCTGGTGTGGCTGGAGCATCTTCTGCCTACCCTTTCCCCTGCCATGTCAACTCCTTGCCCTCTCCAAGCCATCCAATTAAAAACATGGGGCCAGATGCCTGGCCCCTTCTTCTAGCCAGCGTGCCACTGCTCACTCCTCCATTTTAGAAATTCCACAGATATCACTGGCTCTACATTGGTATGCTCATCAGAAGCAAAAGTCATATTAAAGGATGAAAATAAAAGCTTTTTAAAAAAGTCATTTTTGGCCGGGCGTGGTGGCTCATGCCTGTAATCCCAGCACTTTGGGAGGCCGAGACGGGCAGATCACGAGGTCAGGAGATCAAGACCATCCCTAACGTGGTGAAACCCTGTCTCTACTAAAAATACCAAAAAAACTAGCCGGGCGTGGTGGCGGCGCCTGTAGTCCCAGGTACTCAGGAGGCTGAGGCAGGAGCATGGTGTGAACCCGGGAGGCAGAGCTTGCAGTGAGCCGAAATCGCGCCACAGCACTCCAGCCTGGGCAACAGAGCAAGACTCCGTCTCAAACAAACAAACAAAAAAAGTCATTCTTATTAGCCATCCCAACACAGAGCCCACAGGACAATGGTGCTCTGGAGAGAAGGGGTGGGGTGAGCTGGGGGACACGGGCCTTGCAGGCAGGGCAGGGCCTCTCTATTTTACACATCAGTTTCTCCACATGCTTCCCTTCAAAGAGAGGATTCTGAGAAGGAAGTATGTCTCCAAACCACCATGCCAGGCAATACAAACTCTGAAATACTGGTATTGCTGAATACAGACACAAACACACACACACACATACACACACACACACATACACACACACACACTCTTCTGGTGCACTGTAACAAAAATGACTTTCTGAGAAGCTTAACAAATACTTTTCCTTTGAAACATGCTTTATGAAATGACCAAATATTTTAAAGAAATGTATATTCTGAAAATGAGAGAAAACTAATATTGATGTCACTCTTTTGCATAAGCAATACTGCCATCCAAGTGATTAGGAAAAGCAGCCCTAAATAATGCAGATGTGAACCAAACTGCATTTTAATATGATAAACATTCAGAAGTGATCCATGCTATCATTTTTTAAACAATGCATTCTTCTGTTAATTGATCTGAAGTCTGTGCATCTTAAGAGTAAACTGAATTCTGCTGTTTCTGTAATTCCCAGGGAGACAATTACCCACCATAAGTATTTTTCTCTACTCATGTAATTTCTACTGTTGTTATCTGGGAAACTGCTTAATTGTTAGTTTAAGAATACAGACAGGGAAAAGAGCACCATCAACATTTCTTAAAGGTATGCTGCCTTCCTGATTATCAGCCTTCCTCGTACACTCATAAAAGCATGTCTTGCAATGCCATTGTAGTTAATTTTTTTTTTTTTAGATGGGAATCTCGCTCTGTCGTTCAGGCTGGAATGCAGCGGCATGATCTGGGCTCACTGCAACCTCCACCTCCCTGGATCAAGCAATTCCCCTGCCTCAGCCCCCTGAGTAGCTGGGATTATAGGCGCACACCACCAAGCCCAGCTAACTTTTTTGTATTTTTTATAGAGATGGGGTTTTACCATGTTGGCCAGACTGGTCTTGAACTCCTGACCTCAGGCAATCCGCCCACCTTGACGTCCCAAAGTGCTAGGATTACAGGTGTGAGCCACTGCCCCTGGCTGTAGTTAATATTTTTAACAAACATAAATATTTTGGTACAGAATAAATATTTCTCTTAGGCATTTAGAGAGCTGGATTTCAAAGAAAGTTAATAATGAATTAGTATCAATATTGATTCTCAACAAGAAACCTTATTAAAAATGGTTCCATCTTTCACTAGTTAGACTATTTCAGGAAGCACTTCTTACCTGGGAATATTCAAAGTCAGTGATAGGGGCTATGCTCTTGATGTAGTCTGATCGAAACTGGTTTTCAGGGTTGGCCAGCGGAACTGGAGGTATTATAGTACTCATTGCTGAAACAATTGTCTAAAATGGAACAAGAAAAAAATATGGATAAACATTGAGGCTCCCTGTATGATAATCTACAATATGTAATTTCTGTCTAAAGTTTTAGAATGAAGCACACCTGACCTTTCTAGTAAACAATCATTTAAAAAAGTCCTTACCACGATAGCATCTTTAACATTTTTCCGGATGTCCAGAATTTTCTGTTTCTTTTCCCTGTATTAAAAGAGAGTTGTTATTAGCTTAATTTACCCTTAACACTGATTCCAATCAATTGAGTGGGATTTTAAATTTCCAGCTACAGCACTGACCTAGACTGGTTTCACCAGAGGTCAGTATCATCCCCCAACACAACATCTGCAAAGGTTTTATCTGGGAAAGGAAAGCACCCTCCTTTTCTCATTTGCGCTCTAAACAAACTTGAATGCACATATTTTTTAACTCTATAGCTTTAAACAACCATGCAGCTTACATAAAAACAAGGCAAAATCGCTATGAATACTGCATATAAATATAACAATGCAGCTACACTTGTAAATGTATTTTACCTAGGTCTATCCCATGGAGAATATGCTGATAGTTATAAACTGAAATAGATGCAGACAAATATTATATTGAAAAAATATACTGAGCTATTGGTTAAGTGTGCTCAGAGCAATACCAGTAATACAGATCAATACTCCAAGAATACCTATAAACCATATTTTGTTAAGCAAGTTTTTTTTTTTTTAAATTAGACACTAGCAGAAGGAGGATTTGCCTAAATATACCAAATCCAACAGCAAATATCTAATTTTTTCCCCCTTGAATGTCCACTCAATTATCAAATACATTGTTTAGAGAAAGCACTTCTGGGACGTTTGGGAGAGACGAAGTTTGCATGCAGTTGGGAAGCAAAACCGAAACTGATCATTCTTACTCGGGATTAAACCCATTGACGTGCAGGATCCTCATCTGTTTGACGATAGTGCTTTTCCCAGACTCACCAGCCCCTGCAAACAAACAGAAAGTAGGCTGTGAACTGTGTCCGGATATCGCTGCCATTTCTCACCACTAGCCGGGTCTGAGCAATCCTCCTCCCCCAGCACAGGGATTTCCTACACGCGGGTTCCCGGCTGGAGGAGCTCGCC